ACCGGAGCAGCAAATGGAGGCTGCTCATATGGCGGCTCTCCTGCGTTCGTATCCACGTTCGGTTGTGACCCTTATGTGGAATACGGCTTTCGCTCGGCGGATCCCGCTACTGAAGCGAAAAACGCGATCACTCGATCGTTAAACATCTACGTAGTCAGGTCTCCGGTCACTACACAAGCTGAGCTTGATCAGAGGAAAAATCTGCGAGCTCGCTTTTTCGTTCCCCAAGAGATCCCAATGGATCGGTATCGCGCTCGACTTTGAGCTTAAAAGGAGGGGCTTCTGATCCCGCAATGCGGACCATCCCTGTGGTGCTCGCCCCTGGCAAACCCTCTGCGGATGGTGATGAGCACTTTGAACGATGGGTGCAGCGGCACCCGGAAATTTAATCGCTGTCTACCTTTCAGCGAGGCCACACGGAAGTGTACGTGTGCGTTGAGCGCCATCTCAGATTTGAGTTTGCCAAACTCAGCGTATAACGCCGACTTCCTGCGTATTGTCGCCCTGAGACATAGGTTACAAATCATGACGCTCCCGTGAGCGCTGTGGTTTCTTACACGGGTGGATCTACTACCACAGCAGATCAGGGCCATAGCTTGAGCTCAGCTCACGGCCCTCGGGTTTTCCGGGCTACGAACAAGAAGCGCGGTGCGCAAGACGACGCGAAGCGTCATGATCCTTCTAATCATAAGCGTCTACGACGTCTGGGCAGTCTTGCCGTAGTGGTACCTCAAACTCCCATGAGTTCTCGGACTCCTTCGTCATCGGCACTCTGCCGAGCATTTCTTCGAGGTCGCCTACCGCTATGCAAAAGGCCCCAAGAACCTGGAATACTTTGTACACCGACTGCCTCGCGTTGACGAGTATCGTGCTCTGTCGGAGCGGCTTCCAGCCGTCGAGCAGACGTATACGTCCCTTCGTGCGACGGTGGAGCGCCTTGCCCCGTTTAAGACGAAAGATGTTGCACACTGTGCCCAGAACCAATTGCTGGTTCAACTTCTGAGTTACTCCAGGAGTCCATGTTGTCGAAGACACGGTTGACAAACAGCGTCACTGTGCCCACACCGTCGAAGGCCAAACACAAAGTCCATACTGATGGACTGCCAATACTCGGATGGTACCGGTAAACTGACTAGCAGCGCCGCTGCATTTGGAGAGGGTTTCGTCTTATGACACGTCTCACACGTGCGCACATTTGTGCTCGTCCACTTGTACAGCTTGTGCCATTAGTAGTGGCAACTCATCGAGCTGTACGTCTTCTCACGACCGAGATGACAACTGAGTGGGGTGTCTTGGACCTCACAGCGGACAAGGTATTTCAAATCCTCATCGTGAGGAATCACAACTTGAGGCGTATCGGTTGAATCGGTGCTATAATACAGCAACTAGTTACTCAGCGAAAATCGGTGTCACCTTTTGCGCAAACGCGCCGAAAATTTGTTGTCCGCATTTTCAAACTCCTTGCTCCTTAGAGCCTGTAGGAGCGCTACACACATAATGTCACCAGCGTATGCGGCGCGGACCAAATCCGTCACTAATGACGTCAACGTCGTGACACGAGCAAGCTCATAGTCCGGTCTGTGTGACAACGCATCAGTCAAAGCATACTGCTTTCCTGTTTTATTCTTCATCTCGAAGTAATATTCTGCGAATAAGGAGAACCACCTGGTCATCCTCTGCGAGAGGTAAGGCGACCGAGTCGCAGTGCGTAAGGACGCATGATCTGTGTAGATCACAGACGGCTTCGATCCAAGCAGGTGAACACTGAACTTGACACTTGCATACTTTATCGCAAGTAATTTCTTGTCGTGGACTGGGTGGTTCATCTCCCCAGCCTTAAGCTGGCGAGATTTAAACGCGACCACCCAATCTCGCCCCTCGGCGTATGCTTGCAGCAGTACACAGCTGATGGCAAATTTCGAAGCGTAACAGACGACACTAAAAGGACGATCGGGTCTGGCAACGCCAGTATTGGTGCATGAAGAAGGCTGTCTTTGACCCTGTCAAAAGCCTCCCTATGCTCGGTGTCCCAATCTTTATTGTTATTAAGGAGATTAGACAATGGCCGTGCCATTTCTGCATAATTTGCGCTATACTTATGCAAGTAGTTGGCGAGGCCAAGCCACTTGCGCAAGATCTTTTGGTTATTTGAAACCGGCCAGTTCATAATGGCCTTGGCCTTAGCGGAGTCGCTCAATCGCTTTCACGTTCAGCCCCAGCTCCACAACTAGACTCTCGTGGGGAGCGCCATTGGGTGGTTGAGACGATTGTCGATCACAAGGATCGATCGACCCGTCATCGTGGAAAGAAGCAGTTGAGCCATCAGTAGTTCTGCAGAGTTTAGTGGCGCGGCTATCCATCGGCCTCGGACACGTGGAGACCTCGTCAGGCCTTAGAGTCTGATGTCCCCGACAGGGGTCCGCAGCTACGAGAATCGCTTGTAGCGTTGCTAGAGGAAACACTATGACGATTAGAGCTTAGTTGTGCTCGGTCATAACCGGTAGTCCTACCAGGACCGACTCGGTGAAGCAGACGCTCCACCTTGTTTTCGTTCTCAAGGCGAACACAAGTCCGCCAAGGGGTAAGCTTTGCTGATATGGACTGGGTCGTATCATCACGATTGTTTATCCGACGCCAGCGGAAGAACGTTCCATATAGAACCTCTTGTCTCCATTACGGTTTAGAATGGAGAAAATATCAAAGTGTTATGGAACCGTTTTTGCCTAAACGACAGAGAACGCTCCTTCATGTTTTCTTGTTCACTGGATCGCTTCATTGTGGATCGGAAAGGGAGTCGCTCCAAAAGGTCTGCAACATTATCAAAGTGCTTTCGACTTTGTGGAAGGGATGATGTCATGGGTTATACCTAGCCGTTACATTAAGGTACATTTATTGTACCTTCTGTATGCGTTGCGGGAAATCATGAAAGAACATTTCGGTCTGGTAATTTCAAATGCATACGTGATTTCTTATGTAAAGTCACAAACATTTTGTGTGATACAGAATGCTGATTTCTACTCGGGGATCCGTAATGATGACGAAGCCGACGGGTCTCTGTCTTTCAAAGTGGGTGGCGTAAGCCAGTCTCTACTGGAAAATTTCCACGAAATTTGAAAATTAAGCTTTTGGAAGCTCAAGATCTGTACACCCAAGATTTATTACTAGTTGAAGCGGAGTTGCAACCTCAGTACACCCTTGATTTGTAAATTGGGAGCCCAAGATATTGTTAGTAACATTTCTAGAACCCCTTGTTTTTTTTGCGCTTAGCTAGAAAACATAACTCATTTTAATCTGGTTGCAAATATGCCCTTCAGGGCTTAAGTCGTTCTTCTTCCCTCCAAGTCGAGCCTGTCCTTCTTCTTCCCTCCAAGTCGAGCCTGTCCTTCTCCTTCCACGTCTGATTCGCTTCTCGTCGCACAAGCGTTTGTATTGTGTTGGGGACTATTTATGAACAGCGTTCTCCATCAATTGACATGGTCACCCGTCGCAACACCTTCCAATTAGTGAAATGGAACCGACCCTGCCGTGAGTAATACTCTGGTTGGCAGCTCGTACAGCTGTTTCACGAAAACAAGCGTACCTTAAATAGAAGAAACTTGATGCAATGCGGTGTCATGTCGACGTCCAGCCGTGGGTTGAACTTTGCAAAGGCAAGCATGAGACTATCTCGAAGTAAACGTCCGTTTCGCTAAAGGTAGAATTTTCGAGCGTCAAGGCGGGTGATACGGTGTGTTTTCCTCATGCAGTACGTATAGTGAATGAGATATCATCGATACTTTTGCCAAGTTGAAGTGCCCAAGGTGCATCCCTCACAGAGAAACAATATTTAACCTCCGCCGCTTGAAGCTCATTTCTCATGACCGGTAGACTAAAAAAAAGGTCGCAGAGAGACTTTTTCGCGCTCGATTTGATTTGAGTGTGAGTGGAAGGCCTGCCCACACAGGCCTTAAAGGGCTCTACACCAGCACTTCGGACAATTCAACCCCGATCACGGCGTAACAATTTATGCAAAAGTCGACTTTACTCTTGCGCTTGCAATTGAGCAAGCTGTTGCTACACCGTTCCGTACCCAGAGGGGGAACCGTAAGTATCTAAGAAAACTAGTTACCTAGGTTGCTGTGCTATATCAAGGTTCTAATCAATGCATAGACAAACTCCGCCTATTTTTCTGAATGCTTATACCACGGTTGATTCCACCTAATGTTTGCCTTTTCGTGCAATGAAATCAATCATTTTCCGGACCTGTAAATCTGATCGAGGGGTGCCGCGTCGATAATAAGAGTCGATTCTTTTCCGTGGCAACTATGCAGCACGCGTTACATATTCAATAGGCAATACACAAGCTGCTGCTTATGCACTAGTATGAAAAGTTGTCGAATGAGCTGAACAAGTAGTAGCCTTCAAAAGTAAGCAGATGCATTCCATCTTCGGCCAGATTGATTTTTTTCGCAACCATTGCATTTTTTTAATTTTTTCAGTGGAGCTTGCAGACTCTAATGTAACTGTCCGAATGTCGTGAACACTTACTGCAGTCTCTAAGGTCTGTCAAAGATGTGATTCGTATTATTGTTGATTAGTATTGACGTCTGTGATCTAAATGTCAAAATATCAAATCGTATGGTGTGCACCACTCCAAAACCTTACAGGACTGCAGTTGCCGCCATTTTTGTCCTCAAGCGACAAGCCCCGCACCGATTCTCCACTTTAAGTGTTTATTGACCCCGTGCGAGCCCGCCCTATCATCGCTGTATTCGGCTGAAGTCCATCGCAAGGACATCACCAGTGGCTTTATCTATATAGGTGCGTTGTGTAGCAGTTCTAGGGGGCAGACACCGTCGTCGCGACCCTACGCGTCCATTTCGCCAAAACCATACCGTGCAATGCTCAAACGTTAAGGCAAATGTTTATTGTGTCTATGCGCAGTCTAAATGACCGTCATCCAACAGGATCAGACCACCACAGTGACACAAGTGCCAGTGGATTCTGGCAAGCAGAAGCAAATGGATATTGAACCCGAGGCAAGTCCGGTTAGCGCTCATGCTAGTGTAGTCATGAATGATCTCAAGCTAGAAGACTTGACAAAGGTTGAGGACAACGAGAAGCGTCGAATTCGCCGCAAAAGCTCAAAAAAGGTTACGTACGTGGAGGAGGACGACATGTCAGAGGTCGAAGAAGCTATTATCGCCGACAGAAAGAAGCGTGCACAACAACTTGACTACCAGCTTCGAACTGTACGTAATTTATTGTGTGAAAGGCACACGCTGGAAATCTAATACCTTTTGTCACTAATATAGGATGTGGGTTATCCACAACTGGACCAGATTGTTGGACGACGAATAAATGAATCTTCTGGACTCGTAGAGTATTTATGCAAATTTCTTGGTCGCTCGTACTTGCATCTGTACTGGCTAACATTTGATGAAGTGGAGCTTTTTATACCAGAAGGGTACCAGAAATCTCATCGCGTGCAAGTCTACGATCGTAAGCTGAGGCGAGAAGGATACCAGGCAATGGATGAGGTTGATGACCTTGAGGCAAATAAACTGACGGTGGAGAAAATTCTGAATCACAAGGTGGATCCAGCCGATCATTTAGACGAACAGATTGAGAAGAGACGCCATCAATTACCTTACGTGCCTAGGTTTCCGCGTATGACCAACTATTTCTTCGTGAATAATGCCGACATCATACCGGAGCGTATGTTGGGAATTGTAACGAAATTGACGAAAGAAGTTGGAGGCGACATCTTCCAGCACCCGGTCGATGTTGAGGAGGTACCTGACTACCTTAACATTATCATGAATCCGATGGATCTTGGAACAATCTCCATGCGAATTGGTCGGGAAAGCTACTACGTTGGACCATCGGCTGTCTCTCTGTTTGCTTCAGATGTGCGGTTAGTTTTTCAGAACTGCAAAGCTTATAATGCAGAGGGATCCGACATTTGGCGCGTTGCAGACCAGCTTCTACGCACTTTTGAAAAATGGTTGTATGACTGGATACTTTCCCCATCAGCGTGGCTTCAATTACCTTCTTCTGGGGATGCAGAAAAAGATCAACGTCTTCAGATTGAATTTTGTACCGAAGCTAAATTTTTTTATGATGTCTGGGCGCCTTGGCAGATTGGCTGCTGTGTTTGTAGAATTAAAGATCATGTTGATCAACTTCTTCTGTGTGACCAATGCGACGGCGAGGCTCATATGCATTGCGCTACTCCGCAGATCACGAAATTACCAGAGGATGAATGGTTCTGTGGGTACTGCCGAGCAAGAACAAAATATCACGAAAAGGTAAAAGCGGTGAAGCAACCTAGTACGGATAAAATGTTTTTATTGGAGAAAAAAGAAGCTATCACGAGTGTTGCTACTTCTGTCTTTGACACCACTGCGATACACGCGGACAAGAAGACAGTCACCTTGAGCGAGCACGTACCTGATATTTTAATGGAGCGAGCTGATGGTGAAGGTAAAGTAAACAAGAAAACATCCAAACGAATCCTTAAGGGTATAAATGCTACGAAAAGTTTGGCACCCATCAGCGTGAAAGATCGTGCTGCCACATTTTTTCTTGTTAAGTGGGTCGGTATGTCAGTTCGATTTTCAACGTGGGAGCGCCCTGAGGATATTGGTGACGATGAGCAGATTCAAAGGTACTTTAAATTCAGTCGTGTGCCAAGCGCTAAGGAGATTCGTGAGACGACGTGCCAATTGCCATGCTGCTTGAAGCGACACCAATATGCGCTCGCAACGAGTACAAGTGGAAGTCGATGTTGTGAAAAGGACTGTTTTTGTACGCTCGGTCATGGCCATGAGGGCGTGTGCAGTCGTAGTAGAAAAATTATGGGAGGGACTTACGGTAGCAAGACCTATCAACAACTTCACATGCAAGAACAAGTCAAGGCACAATTATTTGCTTTTCATTGTCTGCTGAATAATCACACGCCCGACAGGGATGTGCTTAAGCAATGCGGTATGTATACGAGTGCGTTTGTAATCACAATGCAGTACTTGGCACCCAGAGCTCTGAAAGAGGATGACGATGAAGATTATTCCGATGGAGATGGGGACTCATCTGATGACGATGCTGACTTTGATGCAATGAATGATTACCTAAATCGACCAGCTTTCTATCCTGGAATCCTAACTTTGGAGAATGACGAGGACGGCAGCGATGGTGAAAGTGGAGGTCACAGAAAACGGCTAGAAGAAGAAGTCGGTGAGGTGCTCAGCTCTATCGTTGAACATGTTGCTCTCGGTTACCCTACCGAGCTTGAGAGAATCAAAGCTGAATTTGGTTTTAACTCGACGTACCCAGCAACTGCTTTTAATGAGCTTCCAGCTTTCACAGAATATTGCGTTAATTTAGTTCGATCACCGTTTGGTTTAGGCATGCGTCTTGGAATCAGCAGCAACAACAACGTTTCGGTTCTAGGATTTCAGATTCTTGCAAATGGAATGGTAGGCCCCGCTCAGGCCTCTGGAGCTATATCAGTTGGTGATGTGCTTGTAGCTGTGAACAATTCATCGGTGGCTGGTCGCTCGTTCCAAGATGTCGTCGGATTGATTAGTGCGTCCTCCAGTCATGTTATTTTCCATTTTCATTCTCCTCGACCAGCATTTATGTACCCTCCATACTGTCAAGCAAAGCAAGTCATGAAGACCCAACTTGGTAAGATTCCTGATGATGCAGCACCCTACAACTCTAAGTTTACGAATTACAGTTACAAGAAGTACAAACGAATGCTCAAGGTGGGTATCGCTGATCCTAATGTGGCATCATCAGCTTCAACGCAGACGTTGATGCAATATACGAATTACATCGCTCCAAGCGGCCCTATGCAACATCTTTACACAGGAGTAGTCGACAACAGTATCGACCCACATGAGCACTTTGCTAGCTTTCTTCCAGAGCGAAGTATTGCAAGAACTAAAAAGTCACGCAAAAATACTACGGCTGCAAGCGAGCATGGGGATACGAATGAGTTCGTACCATACGAGCAGTCGCCAACGTACAAGGGTGGACGCACGCTGCGTGCTTATCAAGTTGAAGGCCTCAATTGGATGGTGTCCTGTATCAAAGCTCAAAGATCGTGTATTTTGGCGGATGAGATGGGTTTAGGAAAAACGGTTCAAATAGTCTCACTTATCGAACATATGAAATCAGAGGAGTTGATTCGTGGACCGTACTTGATTGTCGTTCCGCTATCGACGATTCAGCATTGGCGACGTGAATTTGAGAGCTGGACGGATCTAAATGTGTGCGTTTATCACGATATTGGTGACCGTACCACAAAGTTCACGGCTAAAGATATGCGCGCAATCATTCGAGACCAGGAATGGTACTACCCGAGTTTGGGCAATTCCATTTTTAAGTTTCACATCCTACTCACCACTTTTGAGACGATTTTGACCGACTTTGAAGAGTTCGAGCACATTCACTGGCGCTTAGTCGTAGTTGATGAAGCGCATCGATTGAAAAGTGCCGGATCACGTGTGCTTAAAATGATGCGCGTTTTACACGTCGACCGCAAGGTTTTGCTGACGGGTACACCTTTGCAAAACAATACACAGGAGTTATGGGTGCTACTGAATTACTTGGAGCCAGTAAAGTTTGCCAGCTTGGAGGACTTTAATCGAGATTTTGGGAAATTGTATTCGCAGGAGCAGGTCGTGCGACTTCAGCAACTGCTGGCACCATACATTTTGCGTCGTGTAAAGGAGGACGTTGAAAAAAGTATTCCTCCGAAAGAGGAAACAATTATTTCCGTAGAGCTAACGACGCTACAGAAACAGTACTACCGAGCGATATACGACAAGAATAAGAGCTTTTTGTACCGCGGCACAAAGAACGGGTTGCCGACGCTGAATAATATCCAACTGCAATTGCGAAAATGCTGCAATCATCCATTCTTGATCAAGGGTGTCGAGGAGCGAGAGCTTGGCGAGCTTGGCAGGAATCCTTCACCATCACAAGTGATGGAGAAAACAATTGAGTGCTCTGGCAAAATGATGCTCGTGTCCAAACTGATTCCAAAACTCAAACGGGACGGACACAAAATTTTGATCTTTAGTCAATTTTTGAAGCAGCTTGACCTACTTGAGCGGTATTGCGATGCAAACTCATTTATTTACGAGCGTTTGGACGGCTCTTCAGGTGGAAGTGTGCGCCAAAGCGCCATTGATCGATTTTCGAGGCCTCACTCGAAGTCTTTTATTTTTTTGTTGAGTACGAAAGCTGGTGGTGTGGGTATCAATCTAATTGCAGCTGATACAGTCATCATTTTTGACAGCGACTGGAATCCGATGAACGATTTGCAAGCTCAATCACGTTGCCACCGAATTGGTCAAAAGAAGAGTGTCCAAGTCTATCGTCTGGTTACCCACAACACGTACGAAAGCGAAATGTTCGACCGTGCTTCACGAAAACTCGGTCTTGAGCATGCAGTGTTAGGTACGGCGTCATTTAATGAAAACTCTCAGATTACAAAGCCATCGGCAGAGCAGCTTGTCGAATTGCTGAAGCGCGGAGCGTATGCGTTACGAGAAGACGACGACACGGCTTCAAGGGAATTTGCTGAGCGCGACATTGAGACTATCTTGAAGGAAAATGCTCGTGTTATGGTTGTAGGCGGTGCGTCGAACTCCAACAAAGGCGCAGACGACAAAACGGTTTCGCAGAAAAAGTCTCCATTTAAGTCCTCAAAAAGAAAATCACTCGGTGGTATGGCAGTAGATCGCTCGTCCTTCGTAGCGGATGGCGCGACTGGGGAATTGTCTGTGGATGATCCAAACTTTTGGGAAAAGGTTCTTCCAGGCGCTGTTTCCGTTGAAATGCTGAGTCTGAAACTCGAAGATGGGAGCGCCGTTAATTCTCGCCAATCAAAAATCAAATTTATCAGCAATTTAGACATTGCTTTAACGAGCTTGGTCACTGAAATGAGTTCAGGCATTAATGCAGACGAAAGTCGCGTCGGAAGTAGAGACATTCAGCATGAATACGATATTGCTATCCAGGTACTAAATACCGTGAGCTCAAAGTATCGCGGTGAATTCTCCAATGACCAAATTGATCTCGTGAAAGGATATTTGACAAAATTGGAAAGATCACGCGTGCGAAGCTGTCGATTGGCTCCATCTCGACCGAACTTGTTCCAGGATGAGGAGTTTGGTACACCAAGGAAAAAACGTAGGAGAAGAATTCTTACAGCTGAAAGCAGTGAAGATGAACCGTATGGTGATGCCCCTTTAAAGAAAAGAAGAACTAAACGACGTGGTCGTCCGCCAAAACATCTGCGAAATGAAGAACCAGCTCCACCCATTCCACTGATCCAAGGCGGCATTTTAAATGAAAGCGACGATTTGTGCACTCTTTGTGGTGACGGAGGATTGATACTGCTATGTGATGGCCCATGTCATCGCTCCTTTCATCTTGAGTGTGTGGGTATGAAAGACGAGCCGAACGACGAACAATGGCTGTGTCCAGATTGCTCTGAGGGTCGTCACATGTGCTTGATTTGCAAACAGGTCGGTGAAATGGGGGTGGAGTTTGGTGTCACACAATGCTCGGTGGCAAAGTGTGGTCGTTTTTACCATAAAGGCTGCCTAGCAGAGAACCCATGGGTAGAGTGGGTTGGCAAGAAACGATTTCGTTGCCCGAGTCACTACTGCCATGCCTGTTCAAAACCCACTAATTTGCGAGCAAAAGCTAAGAACAAAGCGACAAGTAATAATAAGGGTGGCGTTGTAAGCTGTATTCACTGCTCCCAATCCTTCCATCCCGAGTGCATTCCATCGGTGGACAAATTTATACGTCTGTCAAGGAATCTTTTGCTTTGCGCCAATCATCTGGACGGAAAAAAATCACTTGCTCCAGTAGTGAGGAAAAGTAAATCTCAACGCGCAGGTGCAGCGCTTGTCACGGGAGAAGCTCAGCAGCGACTAGAAGTTCCAAAAATTATCCCTTTCGATGACGGCAACGTGGAGCAACCAGAAAAAAGGAGCAGCAAGAGGAAGCGCACATCACAAGCAAAAAGTTTCAGCTTGTTTGTGTCGAAAAAGAGCAACACTACGAGTTCAGCAGTAAAAGTGAAGGTCTGCGCACTCTGCCACTGTGAAAGTGTGATGGAACGAGGTGATAGTGTTCACGATCTGGCATCTGCACCCAATGTAAAAAAAGTAGCAGACTCTACCAAAGCAAATATGGCTGTGGTGGGGCCGTTTATTGAGGCCCCTGTTCGCTTAAAATATTCGGACAGACCTAATGAATTGGTGTATGTTCACTTGAATTGCGCTGTACACTCACCCGAAGTGTATGTAAAGGCCGACGGTCTGATTATGAACTTGCCGAAAGCTGTAAAGCGAGGAAGGCAGCTTAAGTGTACCAGTTGTCATCAATTCGGTGCCACAGTTGGCTGCATTGTAACCAAGTGTCGGCGCAACTATCACCTGCGTTGCGCCTTGGAAAGTGGTGGTAAAATCGACAGCTCTACATACGCATTAAAATGCAAGCCACATGCTACTGCGCACCAGGAACCTACTCGAGTGTGCGTGTGCAATTCTAATGAGGACGATTCAAAGCTTACAATGAGGTGCTCTTCCTGTTCCGCAAAGTATCATCCCAAGTGTGTCAACATGTCGGAGCGTCAAGCGTCTCGCATAGCAAAAACGTGGGTCTGCAGCATGTGCGATGGATCTGCTGCTGCAAAACCAGCTACTTCAATACATATGGTCACCAAATCAGCAGTGAAGAAACAATTGCCGAAGAGCAAGCTAAAGATTGAAGACGGAGCGGCACTTCAAAGGAGCAATCCAAGTACTGAAAGTGCCGCAACCGCGACATCGAAGCGCAAGAAGCCGAAGCGAAATCGCTTGAGCATGCCACGGAACAAATCATGTCTTAAGTCAACCGGGGCAGGCCATGGTATTTCGCCGCATATGGACGCTAACTGGGACAGCGGCGAGTAGGTTGAAAGAAAAAAGATAAAAAACAGTTTATAGCATCCCACAATATTCTGGTTTAGCATGTCATTTTCGCGACATGTGCAAAGGGTACATTTTAACATATGCTGACTACCGAGATATTCATCCGAGAATAAGTGCAGAGTTTGCCTGACTTCATGTCGCTTTCTATGTACACGCACTTTTCTCGGCAGTCTCCAGTAGTAATACAGGCGTGCTGACAAATGAGAACACCATCGTCGTCACAGGAAAATCTACATCTAATTTATTAGTATTGACCGCCTCCTCATGACCAGATGCTTGTACAGAGCGTTTGCAGGCGGCCATACTGGCCACTCATAACATGACAATCAATATTTTTCAATACAAAGCAACAAATTGGCCAGTAAGATTTCGGATGCATTTCAAGTTGCCGATGATGGGCTATTGCCTAGAACACAGTCTTATTCACATACAACGGTCTGGTTAGCTTGCCTAAAAAAATCAATTGAACTTCAACTCACTTCCGCTGCGATGGACTCGGGCAAAGTATCGTGTTCTCGTTGCCACAACTATGAAGTAATTAATGGGTGGCGAGCAATGAATTCCGAAAATCATGCGTCTCGTATTTCATGTAAAGGCAATCAGCTGTTTGGTCTCTACCGTCTTGTTATGTGATTTGCAGGGGGGACACTTTGTAAAACATAATACTAGACTGTTTGGCCTATCGTTGGTAATATTTCAGGTCAGAAATGGGCTCTGCGGAAGCCAGCTGAAGAGTGCAAAGGGTAAAATGTGCACAATGGAACTTTAATAATTGACGGTCTCAGAGTGTATACCAGCTTGTGATCTGGCTTCCCTCCTCCACTGCCTCATTGAAAGTTTCATTCTACAAATTGCTCGCACCTCAGGGTATTGTAAATTGTTTTCCTTTGCTAACTGCTGGCAAGTGTCGCGAGCAACTCCTGATAGCAATCTCATCAACGAAACTGAACCCCAGCGTCACCAACTGTAACCAGTCCGTCTCTAAGGCTTCCGGCACCTCCAGTCTCTTGCTGGTACAATCCCAAGTCCTCCGTTTCGTTTCGCAATCACATTTTCACTTGCCAATTGGCTTTTCACGGGCCAAACGACGCCAAGAGGCACACGCAACCCACGCGCTAAAGTGCGATCCTTCACAACACCTTTCAACACTTCAACTACCACGAGCGAATAGCCCAAGCGTTTTTCATGCCACTTTCTATCTCGTTTTATCACTCGAAACGTGGTGATATCATAACCAATTCTTACAAGAGTGTAGCATTACACGATCGTGAAAAGACAAAGTTCAAAATGGCATTGCCGTGCGAATTTTACCGCAATATTTGGGGTTTCACTGAGGATGAGGATGCAGCGCTTCGACGACGCGCTCGATCGACAAAGTTTAGCTCTTGCCCACCCTCAGCAACATCTCGCAAATTTAAAAAAAGAGTGGCAACAGGTCATCTTGTCGACATTGCACAAGTGGCTCATGTAGTCACGACCATGTCAGACTTTCGCTCTGATTACGGGGAAGACACAAAAAGGGTTCGGCTTGTCAATATTTGGGATGACCGTAGTCTCGCATTAGGTCTTGAGGCCAATTCTAACCATTCCGTAAGTAGCTTTGGACAATGTCCTTCGACTGCTGACACAGAGCCTGAAAAAATGATGTCACCTATCTGCAGTCGCGCAGACCGGATCACTGAACTCAGTTGTGAAGACAGTGAAGAGGAAAACAATAGCTTTGTGTCCTCCATGAAGAATCGACACCGACCAGGTGAACTCAAGCGAACAAAAACACCTGAAGTAATTTTTCCAAGTCTTAAGAAAAATGCTAAAGGGGACCAGTTGACCCGAAAGGAGCTTAATTTGAAAAATGTGCCAGTTTCTCCTCCTTCCTCGCATAATGGCAGTCTTATTTTCAGTGCCATCTTTTCGAATCAACGCGATTGGAGCTGGAGCGCGAAATTCCTTCTTGGAATTCATGAACCCATTCGTCATGCTCTTTTCGTCATGGATCGATTTCTAGAACAATCTCAGAGTCAATCAAAACCTGTGGCTTCACACACGCTGGCTCTCGAGTCGCATGTGGCTGAATTCTTTCTCTGGTTCAAAACGTTCTTCGTCGAGTATTTGCTATGTCAACATGAGGTCAAAGCCGCTGTGTTACTGCCAATGCTAAACTTGACTGCACCTACGAAGCAGCAGATTTTGGATGTGTACCACAATATCAAGCTGATGCTGGCACAAATTCAGCAACTTGAACGTGCATTATGTGTCAGCGGTGCTTGCAGTGCTTCATCGTGGCTTCTTCGACTTCAAGTGTTGCAAAGCGAAATACGACAGCTCAATCGCACGCTGCATTCTGCATTGAATCGGGAAGAGACGACATTGAACGCAGCTATGAGTGATGCATTCACGGAACGCACTTTTCGAAGCCACATCATGCCTCGAATTTTTCGTGCCATTCGAGCAAAACGCGTGGTCGTGCCGTGGATTGTCGAACGCAGCAAGATTTGGGGTGGAGAAACAGAACATCGCAGTATCCAAAGCATGCTGCCCTTTTCAGCAAAGTTCATGTATTGCAAAGTGTGGCGACCTTATTTTATAAGCAATGTGGCGGTGGCTATGAAGAATCTAAACCAATTTGACAGCTCATCAGACTCAAACAGTAGTGCCAGTAGTGGCTCGACATCTAGCGAACGCAATGGGGAAATATGCTCCGTTATGTGAAAATGAGGCACTATACTGCTCTTTTTCTAACAGCTTGACAGCTATTTATTCTGAACTAACTCCATCTTAGCTTGAAGGTGAAGCAGCTAGAATATTTGCATTTTCATACGAATAAATGAAAATGTTTTTTTTAAATTCGCTTGAACTTTGTGCTCGACGATTGAGACTTAAAAACTGAAATGAACTGACAAACGCTTGACGGTTAATGGGTAGTTAGATTTGTTATTGTCGATCGATCAATAACGGAATTACTAATTCCGAATTAGCCCCTACACGTCGAACATAAAACGTCCTGGCTATGGACACGAAAGCTCGTGTTGATGGTGAAAGCAGTGATCAAGCCGTGAAGCATCTTTTGTCGGACAAGCTGATCAACACAACTGACCAGACTTCACAATTTCTCGAAGAATGTTCCGGTGTGCGCTTGCTGCCTGAATTTGTATGGGATTGGATCTGCTGGTCTGGTAATAAAACATTTGACATCTTGGATTTTGCGGGTGAGGTAGTGGCGAACTTTTTAGGACTCAATCAATCGAAATATCAATGGATCATCGATGCTCAAGAGCGTGAGGAGCAGAAAAAGCAGCAGCGACGACTTGAAATGCGCCAACGTCGTCAGCTTTGTTTAGAGCAACTTCTTAAAACAGAACAGCGTAAACTTGAGGAACTTGAAATCGGTGCGCGTAACAAGGAGGCGGTCTTTATTGACTCATCTGACGCAAAGCATTAGGTCGTATGTCGCAAAATTTTAAGAAATAATATGTATTTCGTTCAATTATGTTTGCTATGCCATAAAGGGTGAGTTGGCGGTCGGACTCCTGCGCGCATCAGCATATGCACAGCAGCCTTTTCAATATACTGCAGCTGTCGATTCACAAAACTTTCTCCTTCCGGTGCTAACTGCTCCGATCGGATTGTAAATAGCCCTACAATACATCAATTACATCTTTCTCGATCAAACGAACGTAAGAAACTATCAAACCATGAAGATTGCCGAACAGCACATCCGTCGAATACCGGTCGCCAATAATTACGAGAGTTTGCGGATCTACTTCGCCAAAGTGTTTTTGCACGAAAGCAAAACCTCCTGGTTTCTAAATGACAAACATTTATGTAAATCTCGTGCGAAGTCGGTCAACGAAACATAAATTTAGTTCTACTTTTTGATTGTGTCGAAGCACTTGGACATGTAGACCCTCTTCGATCTTTTTAGCTTCGATTCCGTCCTTGTCGTCCGTCGACCCAGCGGAATTGGAGAATATAATGACGCCTGCTTCTCCAAAAACTCGACGGCATTCGGCCAATGACGACACCAAATGAGGACAAAGTTCCATTTTATGTGGCATAGTTAGCGTGTTGTCCTTGTCAAAAATAACACCACGAAATCCGCGATCTCGGAGGGTCTGAAAAGGCACCTCCGTCACATCTAAAGCACAAGCTGGGATAAGTCTTATGAAGTGGTCACCATTCAATCATAAGAAAGCTACATTTTATCATAGGAGACTTTGTACTTCACCATTTACGGAGAGATGGGGTAGCAAGAGCTGCGGGTGGCGCGTAAATACGCGACAGAACTCGACCACGCCGCCTAGATTCAGGCCTTTCATGGCAGACAAAATAAATTACTCTCGAATTTGATTGATCCGCGCTTCTACCAATCATCGCTTTTGAATAGGGACAATTATATTGACACCGCGGTTTGTGCAGCATACGCTCATCAATGACAAATGTTCCGCAAGAAATGCACGTCCAGAACGATGAGGTAAACAAGGCCGAAAATTCGAGCTCAGACGACGACTCGTCCTCCTCAAGTTCGGGTTCTTCTTCCAGCTCCTCTTCATCTGATTCTGAATCAGAAGACGACGCAGAAGCTGAGAGTACTGAAATAGACGCTAACTCAACCAAGCACCTGATTCCATTTGGAAACACTGAAAATGTCGGCAACTCAAGCACTGCTTCGACATCATCGCTCTCGGCCCCTCGTCCACATGGACTGGCAGCTAATCAGGAGACCCTTAATGTTAATTCGACGCGAGCAGCAGCGAGATTTAAAGCTGCAGAGACAGAATTTATGATGCCATTGGGTACACGAAAGCGAGATCGACGGACTATTGAAGAAATACAACGAGATCTTCGAGACAAGAGGAAAAAACCGATGGGAAAAATAGCAGCAAAAATGAGTCCTCCACCTCCAAAAGGCTCGCCATTACGTTCTCCAGAAGCTGAAGCAATGGTAAGTAGTGGTGCACCAATGGCGGTCGGGGGCTCTTTAAATTCGTTTGGAACGGCAGGACGATTGCCAGTGAAGCGAAAACCAGTGTCAGCACACGATCGATTGGCCATGAAACTGAATGGACGAAAGACCACAAGTGCGAAAGCAAAGAAGGCGAGCAGCTCTACAACGCCGAGTGCAACGGCCCCCCCCGTGGCAGTTATGACGAATAAAATAGTGACAAAAGCCATTGCAGCTAGTAGCTCAACTAACGCGGCTACAGGGAATAGCAGCAGTAGCGACCATGGAGATGTAGGAGGGGACGGATACAGTAGCAGCGTGGGCAGATCGTCAGCTGTTGCAATAGATGGTAAAGTGGTGCGTGCGATGTTGCGTGCAATGCTTCGCTATGGAGATATGACCGATGTGGGGCTTTATGCGGCTGCTATAAATTTCGCAGACGAGTACAAGATGCCAAATTTTATTGAGCGCGCGAATTTGCAAAGTACTACGAAAGTTTCTTTTGAACGTCTTCAATCTCTTGCAAATGAAGTGGCTCTGAAGGCCAAGCAAGCGATTGAAACACGGCCACCACATGATGGAATCAAGATCGCTGATGTGGAAGCGAAAGCGTCGCAGATTATTGAGCGTCTTTATGAGAATTTGAAGCTTCGTGTTGCTGTTCAACGTGCGTTGCGCACCGCTGGGTGCTCATCAGGCAACGCACAAGTGAATGCTCAGGGCGCGTATGTTTTAGTGGCAAAACAGAGCGACCTTTCTGTTTTAGGAGTTAACACTCGCGACTTACCAAGTTGGACCTGGGCTGAAAAGGAACATGATTGGACACAACGCAAAGACGCCGCGCTGCTACTTGGCGTTTACGTGCATGGTTTTGGAGGATGGGAAGATATTCTAAATGACGACTTGCTTCATTTCCAGAAACAACGTGCGCTGAAGGGCGAGCGTCTGAAAAAACGTGCCGAAAATTTGCTGAAACGATTATCTGCTCCAGATATGGATGCTGGCGAGCCACGTATTGTGCAGCAAGCAAGCGCTCTTAGCTCTGCTAGCGTAAACTCTAACCAATCGTTAGGTGCGCAATTTAGTGCCATCATTCAAAGCGGAGCAATCTCGGGTGTGACAGCATCAAATTCTGTACACTCCGGTACTGGAGGCGGCCGAATGGCCCGCGCAGCCGAACGATTTGCTGCACGGCAACAGAGTAGTGAAGAGATGTCAAGCCGACGTCCTGCTATACCCTGTAGCGATGGAACGACTTCAAATGGAGACTCAGGACGGCAAAAGACTCCACCGGTAAGATCACCCGCTCAAAATATGGTGGCTGATATTGATCCTGAAGAAGGCGAAATTGGCGATGCATCACCGGCACAATCGACATCTTCGCAGCACAAGCGAAGATCGTCATCTTTAGAAGACGGGGATATGACAACAACTCGAAAGAAACATCGTCACAATAGTAGCGATAGCTTAAGTGTGACGGAAAAACCAAAGAAAGAGCTTCGGAAAGAAACAAAGAAGCAAAAGGGCCACAAGTCTCCAATTTCGGTGGCAAACGTCGTGGCAGATGAAGCGCCGGAACCGGCACTGCCGCTTTTATCAGCTGAGGAGTGCAACGAAAAGTGGAAACCCAACAAGAAACTGCGTGACATTCGGCAGGTGCTGAAGAAGATAAAGATTATGGCTGAGTGGTCGAGCAACCAGAAAGATGAGACGGTAGCTGAAAAGATGTTCAAGTACGTGAGTACAATCGGCGAAGCGATTGATCGGATCGTTATGGAACACCAAGATAAGGTGGAAACCCAGTCACATGGATCACCTCGCGAATCTGATGAACTTTGCACAAGTTTATGGACGTATGCCGCGGGGTTTACAACTTTTACACCACAAAGTTTTGAACAACTGTACGATGACATTTGTGCAGATGGCGACGCTCTTAAAGTGAAAAAATCCTTTTGATTCATGTTAGGAAAGGAAAACTATAAAAATAAATGCATTGTAATTTCTCAAGCGTTCACTACTAAATCGACTGGTAATTCGAGTCGAAGAACGTATTGGCTATGTTTTTGCAACCACCTCCTAGTGCTGAAGAATTAGCATTGAAGGATGAGATAACACAGGTGCTGACAAGTCAAGGAGTGCTATCAAAGCTAAAGGCTGAACTACGCGCTGCAGTTTTTGATGCGATGCATGAACGCGAAGGGTCTAGGAAAATGATCGACGGTCCAAGATTAAGTGACTTTCCAAAAGAAATTAGCACAATTGCTCTGTCGCTAATTGTCGAGTGCTTGCAGTTCTTTCATTGGAAACACGCGCTGGGGGTGTTACTTGCAGAGACGAATACAGAAAAGGAGCAACAAGACGGCAGTGTGCTGGCGACAAAGCTTGGATTGTCAAATTACGACTCTTTGACTTATCCAATACTCTTTCACCTCGTTCAACGCCAATTAGACGATAGAAACCAGCACGCAGTCGCTGCCGAAACTTTGGCAGCCACCGAGCATAGTCACTTTAGCGGTGGACATGCAGACAACGCACCAGCGTCAGCAGTAAGAGCAGTGGAACCAGAAGAAGATCATACCTACCAGGTGCCTAAGAAAAAGGATGTAAACATAGATTTTGAAGGCAAGGACGGGGATGATGAGAGCAATGCTGATTTTGAAGAGAGCATGGGAGAAGAGGCTTTTAGTGTATCAGAACTGGGAGATTCCAGTTTGGCAAACGAAGAAGACGAAAGAAGCTATGATCAAACTCTAACAATTATCAAACAGCCCATAAGTTTGTCGAAACATCTACCGCAAAAAAGTCACAATAGCGATAAAGATTTGGAAGACAGCCATAAAACCGGTGAAAGTGTTAAAAATGAATTGTCAATGACAGTGCCTCCTCCAACACCAGTAGGTTTGCCATCCTTACCACCCTTAGTCGGCCATGCTCTTGCTAGGGATGCAGACGATGATTTTGATGCGGTACGTTTTCCATGCTATAATTCTATGACCGAAAGTGCTGAACGGGGATGGTGTTTGACACAGGAGGAAGAAGCTGAACGTTTACGACGATTGGATGCTGCACTGCAAGCCATGGAGGCTGAAGATGATACCGGTACACTACAGCAATTGAAAGTATCGCTGCAGCTGGAATCGCACGAGCAGGACAGTTTTGTCAGCAGTGGTGGGCTCGACTCTGATGGGGAGGAGGCAGATGACGCCGATGATGTGATAGGCAATTCGCAAACAGGCGAGAATGATGTTGAGAAAGAGAAAGCAGATGACGCGAATAATGTGAATGGTGACCCGCAAACTGGCGAGAACGATGCTGAGGTAGAGGGTGATGATGATTACGGAACCAGCGACTTTGAAGAGGAAGAAGAGATCGCCAGGTACGATTGTTTGACGTGATATACTTATTATGCTGAGATCATGTTGATACTGCTTTAAACAGCGATATTTCCGAGGAGTTGGAATCTATGCCCGAATTCTCGGACAGAGGGGATGACACTGAAGACGACAGACAAGGGATGGCGGCAGCTGACACCGAGCTACCTCGCGTGCTTCAATTTGATACTCGAGTAGACAGTGAAGATGTGTTGAACAACTTTGACTACGTTGAAGACGTTGAAAAAGATGAAATATGGTAACTCCTCAAGTAACAAGAAGTCGAGAGTGCGCTTTGTACGTTGCTACCTTCGTTAATACCCCTTGCTTATGGCATTGAAATAAAGGGTATTTGCTTCACTTATTGGCTCGTGACCTGACGAGTTTGTTTAGTAAATTCTGGTCATCAAAAGATTCTGGGTGAATGAAGTAGTGACGTCCTTTTGCTTGGAATGAAACCATTGGATGCATCGCCTGGGTAGGTGGCGATACGTCGGACAGTCGAAAGGAGTGGCGCTCTAATTGAGCAAAAATCGTCAAAGTCTCGACAATCACGGTGCAGCCAACAATTTCATCCACTCCCTTGATCAACCACATTCGCATTACATACGGCTTGAAGAGAAAATGGAAGAGCGAAGTCGTACCAAGACCAAACAACATGATGGTACCGCACATGGCCCACTACAAATCCAACAGTATGTTAGTACCTTACTTGGCTCATTACACCAACCAATAGTGACGTCGATATACCTTGCCGACCGTGGACGTGTCCTGCTCGCTAAGCACACAAAGCACTGGCATACCAATGGATGTGAGACTGCAGCTGGTAATTGAGACGGCCTTCATGAGGCGAACTGCGCGTGACATGGGTGCCTGGTACACCAAGTCTTCGTCTAACTGCAACATATCCCGCTGCAGATTTCTCGCTTTCTCATCTTTAGCGTTCAGTGGCTCGTGGGATGAGCTATGTGGGCGGCTACCGATTCTTTCACTGAGACCAACATTGCGACGGCTGCTGTAGTCAAATGAAAGCTTTTGGATTGCAGCAGTGCGATAAGGACGGGAAGTAGCGCCTAACGTCGAGAACTGCGAGCGAAAAGAAGATGGAAATGTCTCTGCGAGGCGCGCGACACAGCGTGAAATTAACATACCTTTTATGTTGTGACCGAGACTTGGATGTTTAACTGAGTATTAATATGTCGTTGTGAGCTCAATTTAAAGACGAGAGCAACATCAGACAATTAGTACACTATAATTTGAAATGAAGTGTAGTTTCCGATTCAAGATATTGCGCAGAAAATCTGAGCGACCATACATTCCTCGTTACCAGGTACATATTTAGAAATAACTCGCGCCAACTTTACCGGCAACTTCTACTTCCATTGCGACAAAATAGTGAATAAGCTTCAAAATTTTAATTGACACCGTAGCGACTTGAAATTGACGCAATGATCTTCATTTTGGCTGAGATCGTAAGTACTACTTAAAAACTAGTGTGCCATCAAACATGAAGTACTTTCGCCAGTCAGAGCTTGCCGTGGACGCATTTTTTTCAGCTTCCGCGAATCTTGTGCCCTTAATGAATACACTTCAACGATGTGCGGGCTTAGCTTAGTTGTGTCGGAATGTCAAGTTCATGAACCGCCTTAAAATAGAGTCGACCCGTATTCAGTAGGACGTTGCGTACGGAAGAACACAGCCAATTTGTTGGACCAAGTTCAAGATGCCCTCAGGAACTTTGGAGGTTAGAACTGTCGCCGATTGTCTTGGAATGACTAGTTCCCATCCTTAACTAACTTGTAGCAGCTCTGTACGATCGTTTAGACTTGCTCAAAGCCCCTTGACGATTCACTGTATTTGTTGTACGTTTGTGCATATCACGATCATCGTCGTACTTGTAAATAGCTCTAAAAGTTTATATTCCTATTGGCTTAAGGGCCTCCCGGTGTATCTCTCTCTCCCCGCACCATTTACCATGTATAACATCAATGAAGATTGGACATTAATGAAGATTGGACATTAATAAATATTGTACATCAATGAAGAAGCCAACATACGTGTGTACGACCGAAAGCCAGATCCCTATGAAGCTTTACGGTCGACGAGGTTCCGTTGTTCAGACCGATCCAATGAAGCGTAGACACTCAGACCAAACAGATTAGGTGCAAGCGCGCGCCAGCATCTTTACGGGTAACGTGTAATCTGAAATATAATCCAGCTGGTACTTGAATATATTACATTTCTTTCTTCTCGCGCACAAGTATCCGGCAAACAGATGATGAGCCCAACAGAACGAGTTCAACGGAAACTTAGTAGCCACGAAGATGGAGCCCACCCACCCTCTGCCCTCATCGAGGGCGAAAGCTTAAAGGAGAAAGGTTGGAAAACTCGTGGAGCTGATGACAAAGCTGGCTGCTAAGGTTGACAACCTCGAGCGCTCACTGCGGATCTATCAACAGGGCTTGCTGATCAATCTGCACATGCATGGGACGGAATGTAACGGGTTACACGTGCACTTTTGTGAAAGGGCTGGTCGCACAAGATTGTGCGACAGTACTTAGGTGTGTATTGCATAGTTAGTGCAATAACACAGTGGTATGGCAACAACGTAATGAAAAGCCACCACGTGGCAGGATTGCCAGTAGTAATGCACATTACTATACTAATTAGATTTTGCTATATTAATTAGGAAAACGTAGGGATTTAGATATTGGCGGCTCTGCCGCAGCTAAAACCATTGAACACAGTTTCTTCTTTGAACAGAAGGGTTCGTTTGCCTTGGTGAAGGTTTAGTACAAAGAAGTAGCGAATTGCGATCCGCTACACCAGTACTGGTTCTTGGAAAGAACGTTAGGTCGGTGACCATAGCTTAATTTCCTCTAAGCAAAGGGCTACGGCACCCCCGCTGCACTTGGCGGCATTGGTAGTCAATCTACGCCTGAGTCGTTACGACTGATCCTCTGTGAGTTTGGAGGAATACTGCTATTTCCCCAGGGCATGCAGAATGGGCTTTAATAAGTTAATGTCCTTGCTGACCCTGAGGACGTGAAGTACCTCGTTGCTCAAGGACCCGGGGCCATAAGCGCGCGTCTAGAGGCGTTTTCAAGTAATAAAAATGCTCTGTTAGAGCACTTCCAGCAGAAGTTGTCAGCGTCGACTGCATTTATGACGCCACCGTCGACGACGGCTGATTCCTTCCGACCCTGGCCACTCATGGTGAGCGTTAAGACCTTCGAGGGTAAGGGTGTAGAGAATTACCTGCTCTGGATAAGAGAGGCCGAGATGGCTTTGGCATCCGCGTTGCTCCAGAACGAGCAACACCGCGAGGCGCTAGCTATCCCCAACCTCGGGGGCCGAACGCGATAATGGGTGCTGACGTGCGGTGCTTTAGTTAGAGCTGCGTTCCCTTCCTGGAAGGAGTTGAAGCTGCAGCTTTTGCGAGTGTTCTCGCCGCCTAATCAGACGCCTCGCGTGAGATCGCGTTTTCTTGCTGCCCGACAGGGCAAGAAGGAATTAGTGGACTTTGTCCACGAGTTGTGAACTCTCATTGACGTGATGACAGCAGATCCTCTTTCCGAGGCGGTCGAAGTGACCATCTTTATGGAAGGCATCCGCACTGGCGTGGCCAGAGTGGAAGTCTACCGTGAGCATCTGTCTTCTCTTGAAAAAGCGATAAACGTCGCATTGAATGCCGAATCCAACTTCAAGTCGGCACGACTTGTTGATATACACGCCCTCACAGCTCTACGAGCAGACCTGAGCCAATATCAGCTTTGCTGAGAAAGAGGAGAGAAAGCTCAGAGCTGTTGAGCAGCGTTTAAACTCCCGAGGGTGTTTTGTTTGTGGAGACACTCGTCACCTTCGGACGGGTTGTCCCTTGCTCAAGGCGCGTAGAGGTTCGTCGAACCAACGTCCGCTTTTAAACAGTCTAGTTTGACGCGGAGAAACGAAAACACCCACTAGGCGCGAAGCGCCCTACTGGGGGAGAACTGAGTTCTGTTGAGCCTCGAAGTGGTAGAAGGCAGCAGAGCTCAGCCCCGAAGAGCTTCGTGTTTTTGAACACGAAATGTGTGTGCAAGCCGAGCTTGCTGGTCGTAAAAGCGACCGTGAAGAACTTTCTTTGATAAGCCAGGAAAGATCCTGATCGATTCTGGTGGGTCGGGCAACTATGCTCGACCCTCCACGATCAAATGAAGTCAGCTGTATGCTGAGGCACCGAAAGCGTGGTTGAGTGACACCGTCACTGTCGCTTACCGACGGGGACCTGTGTCACTGTGCAGAGGGTCCGTGTGGACTATGGTATCAAGTTTCTTGACTTTGATAGCTTGGAATGCTGTCTAATCTTAGACTTTGATGCAAGATATGACCTTATCCTTGGTATGGCATGGTTGGAACACCATGAGCTATGGATTGATTGGAGGTCAAAGACTTTGGGCGCTATGTGCATGTCTCCTGGTGGAGCTTTAAGTCATGAACTCACCTCTGCTAGGAAGCAGCAGCGCTATCGGCGTGGGCACTGGACCGTGACGGTCAACGTGCTGGACATTGGAATGTCCAAATTGGTAGACAGCAACGGTGTAGTTCCGAGCGTGGTTTTGGGCTGATCGTGATGTGGCACTTAACCCACGGAGCGATGCTCAATTTTCGGAGCAGTCACTGCATTTCATGCGTGACATGGTCGCCCGAGAGATGAGGCATCGAGGGCGAGGCCTATGTGATGCACGTGAAGTAGCACGTAAACCACTGAGCACTGCTCGGGTATCGAAGCAGTCGCTGCATGTCGTGCGTGACATGGTCGGCCAAGGGCCGAGGCATCGAGGGCGAGGCCCCCGTGATACACGTGAAGTGGCACGTAAATCACTGAGCGCTGCTCGATTATTGAAGCAGTCACTGCATGTCATGCATGACATGATCGGACAGAGTCCGAGGCATCTTAGGCACGAATTTTTAGATGCGCGTGGAGAGGCACGTAAACCAGTGACCTCTGCATGCTATTGATGGCGTGGTTGGACAGAGTCCGAGGCATCTTGGGCACGACCCTTCAGATGCGCGTGGAGTGGCACGTTATCCCCTGAACGAAGACTGCGGGGTTAGCAGTTCCTCGTCGGATGTTGTAAATAATATCGGAGCTCCAAAAGAGCAGAAAGTGAGGTTGACAGACGCGGAGTGCGTGTTCACCCTGGTCTCACCGATACATAGAACCTCTGTACAGAGGCGACG